AATAAAAACGTTGAAAAAAAAATTAAAAAAAATAAAATAAAATTGAAGTGTAGCTGGTGCACCGTGTTAAATTAATTTCAGGTGGACAACATAGTGATTCAACAGCTCTATACTTCACTCCACTCGGCACAAATATGTAGCTACCATCTGTCACCACACAAGGCTATTACAATGCCATTGACTATGTCCCTTTCGTCCCCATGACTTATTCATCCCGCAGCTGAAAGCCTGGCCCTCTCTCTCCCCTTCATCTATTTTGCCCATCTTCCTCCCCCCGCCCTACTGACAACCACTGGCTCCTTCTCTATATTTAGGGGTCTGTTTCTGCTTCTTGTTTGTTCATCTATTTTTTTAAATAAATTTTTTAAACATTTATTTATTCTTGAGAGACAGAGAGACACAGAGCATGAGCAGGGGAGGGGCAGAGAGAGGGGGAGACACAGAATCTGAAGCAGGCGCCAGGCTCTGAGCCGTCAGCACAGAGCCCGACATGGGGCTCGAACTCGCAAACTGTGAGATCACGACCTGAGCCGAAGTTGGATGCTTAACCGACTGAGGCACCCAGGCACCCCTGTTCATCTATTGTTTTTTAGATTTCACACAGACATGATATCAGAGTCAGGGTAATTTTTAAAATTAATTTTTGATAATATATTTATTTTCTAGATAAAACTATTTTTAGGAGCAAGAAAATAATAAACACAAGATTAACCGTTGGGTTTCGGGGGGGGGGATATGTGTAAGTTGTCAATTCTAACTTTTACAGTGGATGATCAGTAACAAAAGAGGGTCAGGCATGAACCAATGAAGGGGTTCGACCCATGGATTATATTTAAACCAAAGCATCTTGAAGTCTAAGAAATAAGATTATATGGTATAATAAATATATTCATAGGTACCTATAAGATACACTGATAACATGAAGGAGGGAGCTAGGAGATGCTCCCTCACACCTGGGAAGGGCAGGGAAGTTTGACCAAAGACGTGACAGCTAATGGGGTTAAAAGAATCAGGACAGGGTTGCCAAATTTGGGAGAAGGTGGAGGGCATGGCCAGTAAACTACAGACAATTAGTGTGGGTAGAAAAGGAGAGCGGGAGAGGGAGAGGCGCGTGAAGGACCGAGAAGGTTCAAAAAGGTCCGTCGTCGTAAGGAGGTGAGATGGTTTCCCACATTGTAAGCAAACAGGAGCCTTGGAGGGTTTTAAGTAGGATACTGACGTGATGCATTTCAGGAAGATTCTCATGGCAGAGTGGAGGACTGCTTGGAAGGTGCTGGGGGCAGGAAGGTGTCACGATCTTTGTCCAGGTGAGAGATGTGCACGGCTTAATAAACTCAGGAGCTCTGGTGTGTGTGGAGGGGCGTGTGTGGTCTAAACCAAGAGGTTTTTAAGATGTGGAATGGGCAGAATTTTATTTCCCTGCTCTCCCATGTTTTTCTTTATAACACTTATCACTCGTGACATATTTACTTATCTATGGTCTGTTTTCCTCTCCACCAGGATGTAAACTGCAGGAGATCAAGGATGTTAATTTTGTTCCCTCCTCAATCCCCAGGGCCTAACAGTTCCCGGCACATGATGGGTACTAAACAATTATTTGTTGAAGGCATGGAGTTTAGCTAGGAAGGAGAAATACAGGGTAATAGCCAATAGGGGAAGAATTTCCAGCACTCTAGTCTAATTTAGCTCCTGTCTCTCCTTTTAATCTCTTCCAGAGCTCAGTCTCCAGCTAAGTATTTGGCAAAAAAATAAATAAATTAAAAATAAATAAATAAATAAATAAATAAATAAATAAATATAAGATGTGCCTGCTTCTGCCTCTCATCCTTGTCTCAGCCTCAGTTAACAACCTTTCCTCTTCCCTCCACCTACCCTCCCTGCTCTCTAGCTACCTTCACTTTTTATCTCTGGAATCCTTGGTTTTCTGGGTTCCCTTAAGATCCTTGGCCACATGCTTAGACAGTTCTTACGTTGTTATAGGATCACATACCTGCTAGATATTGTGCTTTTGTCCTTCCAGATCTACCCTCCATCATTTTCCGGAGGCTGGCCTTGAAGGACAACGTCATCAGGGCTCACTTGCCCTTAGGCTTCCTCTTGGGTTCAGCCAGTGGGAGGCAGCACAGGAGATCTGAGGGCAAGAGAGAGACAGGGGTAGGGCTGTATTCCTGTACGTTCCTATTGGCCTTCCCTTTCCATCAGCTATTGTTTTCACTTAGCCCTGGGTTTCCTCTCTTTGCTAGCCCTGGGGTCCTTCATTACCCCTTGTTGGCTTCCCTCAAACGTGCCCACATCTTTGCACACTGTCCCTTCATTAACTCTCTTCAGTTACACATTTCAGAGTAGGCCATCTGTTTCCTGCTGATCTTGGCTGATACAAAAGCAAAAATACAGAATTGTATCTTTTTTAAAAAGTTGAGATATGATTCACAGAATTCACCCGGGGAAAGTATACAATTCCCTTTCAGGTTCTTAGTATGGTAGAACAAATTGTATCTTTTTTCCAAATAATATGTCATTAAGTGTTTTCCAAGTTACCCCTTTCTGCTTACTCAGTGGTAAGTTACACAATGTTACACACCGTAAATTACTTCAACTTTCACTATCACAAAAAGGCAGTAGCACATATTGTGAGTGTGGACGTTCTCTTTGGGGGAGGATTACTTCCCAAGGAAAAGTTTCTAGGAGTGGTATTGATGAATCAAAAGGGAGCCATATCTCTTTTAAGGCTCTTCAGAAGTAGCGTCAACTGCTTCTTAAAAGGATTATACCAATTCACATTGCAACAGCTTTTTCTGAATACAATCACACCATCTTATTAGCACTGGAAAGTGTTTAAGATACATATAGTTTGCTAATGCAGTATGTGATGTTACCATTTGAATTTCTTTGATAGCCATTCCAATCTTAAACCATTTAAAGCCATGTTTAGCCAAATGGGAGTGGAGGGACAGTGATTTTGAGGGGATTATAAAATGGATCCGTGACGGAAGAAGAATGTTAAGATATACGCATACAGAGTCGGTCATACTGGTCTATGAGCATTAATGGCTCTCTTAATGGACTCTCTGGAATCAACACGTTCCATTCCCTCTGATTAAACATAATGACTACTACCTGTGACCTGCTGAACGCTTTGGATTAATGAGTTCATCTGTGCAATTCCAACACACTTCTTCCTACTAGTTGAGTTAGATGCCTAACGGGAGTCTGTTGTATTTGGTCCCAAACTTGCTTATGACCACTGTATGCCAGAGTGTAATTAATTTAAGTTACACAAACTGATGAAGCATGTGTATAAAGAGAAAGAGTTGTTTCTATGAAATGTCAGTTGAAGGTTTAGCTAATGACCAGTTGAAAACTGTCAAACCAGGTGTGGGCGAGACAATTACAAAGGATTTTTTTTTTTTTTTTAAAGAAGAAGCCTCCACTTATATTGCTTTTCAAGATGTTTTAAGTCCTTAGGCAACTTTAAATTATTTCTTAATGTTTATCTATTTTTTAATTTTTTTTTTCAACGTTTATTTATTTTTGGGACAGAGAGAGACAGAGCATGAATGGGGGAGGGGCAGAGAGAGAGGGAGACACAGAATCGGAAACAGGCTCCAGGCTCTGAGCCATCAGCCCAGAGCCCGACGCGGGGCTCGAACTCACGGACTGCAAGATCGTGACCTGGCTGAAGTCGGACGCTTAACCGACTGCGCCACCCAGGCGCCCCAATGTTTATCTATTTTTGAGAGAGAGAGAGAGGCAGGGGAGGGACAGAGAGAGAGAGGGAGAGACAGAATCTGAAGCAGGCTCCAGGCTCTGAGCTGTCAGTACAGAGCCCAAGGCAGGGCTCGAACCCATGAACTGTGAGATCATGACCTGAGCAGAAGTCAGACGCTTAACAGATTGAGCCACCCAGGCGTCCCAAGTCCTTAGTCAACATTAAAGAAACAAATTGGAAAGCACAGAAAATATACCACAGATAGGTTTTAAGTGAGATAGGGCTCAAGAAAACTGTGATTAGCACTGTTCCTCAAAGAAAAGGTTTGGCTCGCATCAAAAGATTGGCAAATGGGTGTTCCTTATAGGTTTTAAGTGAAAATGAAATGTTAAGGCATGCATTTGCCATTTTTTATAATTCGCTGCGTTAATACACTTTCCCATTCAACTGCCAAACTAATGAGTCAGATCCAGTTTGTTTGGGCAGGGATAAATCTTTATTCCCCAACTTTGTTTGCTTGTTTGTTTTCATAGGAGGTCAGGTAGGAGAGAATGTATCCTGGGTCTTCCAGAAGGAGCGACTTACCTAATTGGTGAATTTGGATCTGCCTGCCCTCAGAGAGTGCAATCTTCTCTAAGCAGACACAGTTAAAGTGGCTAGGCCCCCTCAAGGTGAAGGTTGGAGTTTTGGGGGAGAGAATTTTAATTCAGGGAAGCTTAAAAAGCCTACGGGTCATCAGCTAAGCCACGTTCTTCAGTTCAGCTCTGTTGGTGATGGAGTTATTTTCATGTCCTCATTGGTTCTGGACTTTGAAAAAAGGGGTGCTACTTACTGTCTCTATGATAGTCCAACAGTGGTGAGTAAGGCAGCTTCTATGTACTGTCACAGTCAAGATACATTTTTTCCCCCTTTCATTGTAGTCTGTGATTCTGTTCATTCAAATGAAAAGTTGTCTCTGGTTTACAGGGTAGTCCGGCCTTGTCTGAAGTTTAAACTGTATCTCAAGCTAGACAAAGAAGAACACATTTACAGCTGCTGAGAGATGCTGGTGTCAGGAAATATTTGCTAAGAAGGGAAGAGGAATACAAACATGGCTTGTGCCAATCCTTCTATCCCCACCCCCACCACATCCCGAGAGTCTCACCTGTCCTGTTGATTTCTGGGACATGTAAACATGGCAAACTGAAGGTCACAGTCTGTATGGCTAGTTAAATGAGAACTGCGAACATAGCAGGGAACAGTCTAGCCTCTTTTCAACATCCTTTGAAGCATTTTGTAACCCTATAGTGGGTTATAAAATCAATGTAGTAGGTTCTGACCGGTATTTCAAAAGAAATAAAAATCATGAAGTTGAAAGTCTCAGCCAGCAGTGCATAAAGTAACAGTAATACTTCATGAAACTTCTCGGAGGTGTGTACGTGTGTGTGTATATTCTGGGTTGAGATGTGCAATATATTGCGTATAGAAGGTCAGAGTCAAAAACGTTGGCAAAGAACATTATTCAGCAATATGAGAAGGAAATACTGTCATTTGTGACAACATGGATGGACCTTGAGGGCATTATGCTAAGTGAAATAAGTCAGAGAAAAAGATAAATACTGTGTGATCTCATTTATCTGTGGAACTCACAGAAAGTTCTAAAAAACTTTTTTTTTTTTAAAGCCCTGGTTTAAGGTGCACATTTCTTCCTTTCAGCTTCGCTCTTTGCTAATCTGTTCTCTCTGAAAATCTGGTGCCTTGTGAATAAAAATTGTAGTGATTAACAGGCAGAGAAGCAAGGGCCAATTCTCATTCTGTAAGCAGCTGGAATGCAAAATACGGTTGCCCCTGCCTCACTGCTCTGAGTCAATCACATGTCCAACTATCATTACGATAGAAGAGCTGAGATCCAGAACCTCATTAAGTAAGAGGTTACAGGAAAATTTACTTTGACATTTATCACCTGCACAGCTCAAGGGCCAGTGGTTCTTGCCAGCCACAAATCACAAAGGGTTCAGCGTGGCATTTAGGACTACGGTCCCATCTTATTTTTCCAGACTGGGTCTCCTACTTTTCTCTCCCTTGAATCCTATGCTTCAACGAAACTGACCTGCTACTGTTACTGGACTATTCCCTCCAGTTCTCATTTTGTGTCCCTCCTGCCTAAGGCAGCCTCCTCAACTAGCCCATCTGTGCTGACCTAAGTCCCTTCCATCCTTCAAAGATCCCTTTCCAATCTCCTTGATTCCTCTTTTCATTTTTTTAAAAGTAGGCTCCATGCCCAAGGTAGGGCTTGAACTCATGACCCTCAGATGGATTGAGCCAGCCAGGCTCCCCTCCTTTCTTGATTCCTAATAACTCTTTTCAACTCCGCAAAGATCTTAAAAAGAAAAAAAAAAAACTTTCTTAAAAATGCCTTAAAATATCATTTTTCCTGATTTAAAGAGAAATAGTAATGTACTGTAAAAACAAGAAAAAGAAGACATCACAGAAAATAAAAATCCCATTTTTTTAATCTAGCATGATATCTATATGCATAGTATGTGTATATATTACAAGCTAGTATTATCTTATGATGTGCTTTTCAATTGCTGATATTTTCCGTATCATCGATCTTTTTCTTCAACATGATTTTTTTTTTTTAAACGTTTATTATTTTTGGGACAGAGAGAGACAGAGCATGAACGGGGGAGGGGCAGAGAGAGAGGGAGACACAGAATCGGAAACAGGCTCCAGGCTCTGAGCCATCAGCCCAGAGCCCGACGCGGGGCTCGAACCCACGGAGTGCGAGATCGTGACCTGGCTGAAGTCGGACGCTTAACCGACTGCGCCACCCAGGCGCCCCTCTTCAACATGATTTTTAATGGTTACAAATAAACCATAATTTATTTAACAGTCATATAACACTGGGTGCTTTGTTTTCACATATGGTGCTATATCTGGGGGGAATATAGATGGGGTGGTATCCAGGCTATAGTGACAAATTTCCTAAAAGCGCACAGTGGAATACCGGGAATAGAAAATTGGGGCCAATAGGATAATTACGAGAACTGTAAATTAGGAGAAATAATTGGAGCAATAGGATAATTAGGAGAATTGGAAATGTTGGCAGGTAGGCAGGGTTTCCCACTTTAAGAGGAATAGGGATCTGAGCCAGTTGCGCTGAAGTCTGAAAGGGCAGTAACCTCAGAAGGCCTATGGATGACTTTAGGGTCATCTAGGCAGCTGATGCATGGAAACATGCAGGGCTCAGTAGGCCTCCTCCCCATCTCAAAATATTTCTGTTTATGCACGCATCCTTGAAGTCTTGTAGGAAGAGGTGTGTCCCTTCTCTGATTTCTTCCTCCCTCTCCACCACCCCTTCCTCATTTTCCTTTTCTGAGATCTTGCGCCGTTAATTACCCCATCTCTTATCCCCCCCACCCCCACCCCCCCCAGCTCTTTTGAGAGCTCCACCTCATGCTGGGTGAGGGGGCTGGGGTGGGGGAAAGAGAAAGAAATCACCTGTCTCCTTTACTCTTACTACCTCTTGAACTACAGGCCTCTCCGGCTCACTGCCAAACGTCTGGAAAGATCACTCTTTACTGCCTTCACCGCTTCGCCGCCGCGCACTCCTTATCCGAGCGCTCAGCTCGGTGCCTGGCGCACAGCGGGCCCTGGCTGGAAGTTAGTTCCGCCCCTCTCGCAAACTGGCACCTCTTTCCTGGCTCTTCAGAAGGAATGTCTCCGTGCTCAGCAGTGGGTGTCCGCGGTCGGAGGCACCCTGACCCAGCCGCCACCTCAACGCCGCCTGTTCCCAGGTGCGCTGGGCTCTGGGAAGGTCCGGCCGGCCACCCGCCTGGCCTTCCGCCCGCTTCTCTGAGTTCTCACCTTGCACGGCCGGGGCTCCCCCAGTCACTCGGACATGTCCCAGGTCTAGCCCCGGGACGCCCCGCTGGCCGGTCCTCAACTCTGCTCGCCGCGGGTCTCCCGGTTCTCCCAGAGGCGACGCGTCAGCCTGCCCCCCGCCTCCAGGCCCGCCAGCAAGTCCCCGCGGCCCGCAGACCCTTGGGGCGCACCCGCTGAGCGCCTGGCCCGCGCCACCGCGGCGTCCCTCCGTGTGCAGCCCCTCGCTAGGCCCCACTCCGTGCCAGACCCAAGTGACGAGGACGCCGTCCCGGCTCCGGAGGCGCTCGCCGTCCGCTGGGGCGACACGGCCGCGGAGGCAGCCCGGGTCCCTCTAGCGGGAGACGGCGGCGCCTGCCCAAGGCCCCCGCCCGGGAGGCGCGGCGGAGGCCGAGAGGCCCAGGGCGCGGGGAGCGGCCTCCCCGGTG